AGGGGTGTCATCAATAAAAACGGGGCATGCTTTTTTTCCTTTGTTCTTGTACCCAGACAAGTTGCCATATGCAGGAAAATCATTAACGGTCCACATAAGAGCTGCACACAATGTGAACATCTCATTCTTATGAGCATCAAAAACGGAAACCCCTTCGTCCCACATCTTTCTCAAATCGTCAACAAGTGGCGCAAGATAAACATCTATGTCGTTTCCAGGTTGCCTTGGCCCCGTTATCAAAAGTGAAAGCATTACGTATTTCCGTTCATGCACAACCAAGGAGGCAAATTGTAGATCACTAAAAGTACCGGTTATGTGTTGTGTTGGGTACTAAGAGTGCCAAATGGATTCATCCCGTCCATGCACAACCCAAGCCTTAAATTTCTGACTTCATCACCAAATTCCCCAAACTTCATATCAATGTTCTTCCATTGCGGGAGTCGGCTGGATGCTTCAGCATTCTGTTTTTCTTTCTTCCCTCTGCATGCCACCTCAAGTTTTTAACGTCTTTTGGTGTTGAGAATAAACGCTTAAACCTTGGAATAATGGGAAGATACCACAACAACTTAGAAGGAGGTCCCTTCGTACTAGCATTGCAACTCATGAACTTGTAGCGCGACTTCTTGCATCGTGGACACTCCTCCAATTGTTCATATTCATTTCGATAAAGAATACAATCATTAGGACATGCACGTATCTTCTTATACTCCAAACCAAATGGACACTTGAGCTTCTTTGCGTAATAGTAAGACTTAGGAATTTCATTCCCGTCAGGCAACATCTCACTTAACGCGGACAACAAAGAAGTAAAACTATTGTCCGTCCACCCATGCTTCGACTTAATGTTAAAAACTGTTAGCACGGCTGATAGTTTGGAGTATTTTTTGCACCCAGGATACAAAGGCTTTTTAGAAGCCTCTGATAATGACTCAAACACATCACCTTCAACACCACGCATTATCTCATCCACCCCTTCATCCTCGACCTCATCCACCTGGTCATGCTCAAATCCATCCTCATCACCATTATCAATAATATGTTCATCATTCCTGTATTCCTCATCCATATGAATCTCATTGCTACTATCATGCACATCATTCCCATCAACATCCCTACTGTACTCTCCTTCTTCACCGTTCCAAATCCACACATGGTATTTAAGCCAAAACCCACCACAAATTACATGATCTCTAATGATTTCAACACTATTGACCACCTTCACATTATTACAATCAACACAAGGACAATAGAGTCAATCGACACCCATTCTGCGCTGATAAGATGAAGCCCTCTCGCAAAACTCTTGAACCCCATTAAAGAATTCCAATGTATCACGTCTACCATACATCCAGCCACGATCCTTCTCCATTAAGTAAATTTTCTCTAAACATAGCAACATATTACGAATAATGTATAATTGCTACATCTATTGTATATGTAACTCAAATTCAAACACACACCATGCATATAACATTCATATAGATAAAAAAATGCATATATGCTTCCAAAGGGTCCTTATCACTCCAACCTAACCCATCCTTGAACGTGTAATCTCACTAGTGAATGTATGTCGACTTTCCAATTTTAAGGAAAATCCGTCAGCATTTCCCCCCACTTCTCCAAGTACACGATGTAGGTAATTACTTACCCACATATGTACCTAGAGAACAGGGTGAGGAAATGGTAAGCCAAGATGTTCCTTAAAATAAAAAATATAAAAAAGACATACATTCACCACCTAAGTAAGAGTAAACGTTCAAGAACGGTCCCAACCCGGGACTATTCAAGACTTTCTCCTAATGAGGAAGCCTTGAACGAGTATCTAGGCATATGATGATGCAAGCATTTCATATATTGTTGTATTTATTTGTCATTAAATAATACATAAGTTGTAATAGCATGAAAAAACTTTTAGTAAATGAATAAAGAGAAAGAAATATAGCTTAGTAAAGTGTATAATTCATACCAATATAGCAAGTACAATGGATGTATTCTTTCTAACTTCCCACTTGAGCTAAATATGTAGTCTTCAAGCTAATAAACTTGTGCTTCAATTCACATATGAATCTATAAAAAAAACAAAAACAAAAAACAAAAGTTAGTAAGTATTTCATGGTTTGCTTGTTACATTAACGTTCATTCAAATACACATGAATAAGAATCAAACATTCATACATAATGATGTTGTATTGTACCAAACCAATAATATACAAGAGAAAACATGACAGTCAAAATAATGGAATATAAGACCTTAATAAAAGTAATACAGACTATCTACCACACCACTCCTAGACTCCATTCAATACAACTAAACAATGCATCTAACAGCTCTAATGGTCTTAGAATAGACCAGGGCAAAAAAATTTGGCTGAAATCAATCCAAGAGATGGCAGAGCTCAGGCATAGCAAGTCCCTCGTTTATCTTACATTGAGCACACACATTGGCAATTGCAGAAGCAAGAACATGACTAGAACTTTGACAGTAACCTACCCTCAAGATAAGCAGACAGTGTATCTTCTTGAACCCTAGTCATCACTTCATAGCCAGTAGCAGTTAATGCCTTAATTGTCAAGGGTGATATGCCACAGTCCTCAAATCTGAAACAACAATCAAGAACATAGCTTAACATATAAAGCTTAAAAATGAAATAGTACATCAATTGAAGTTCTTAAAGTCATTACGTAACACCAACAAAAAAACAAATAGCATTAATTTTACCTATGCGAGGCAGCTAAGGATATAATTATCTACCATACCAAACTCCCCTCCCTCACAACCCCCAATTCATCCACCAAATACCACTGCAGCCCAACCACCAAATAACACCAAACTCCCCTGCTCCCTCACAACCACCAATTCAATGACAAAACCTAGATTACAAGAACCCTAAAAATTACTAAACTGACAAGCAAATCCACGAAAAACCCTATATTGCGAAGGAATTCGATAGTTTGCGAATACTACAAAAAAATCTTACCTCGAAGCTGCTTCAATGGAGGTGAGAAAGCTCAGAATCCGCTTCAATGGAGAATAAAGATCACGAACTTCAATAGAGGAAAAAGAAGGAGGTGCATGCAGTTGCTTCAATGGAAGTGAGATTGCTTAGAAACCGCTTCAATGGAGTAAGGTGAAACCAAGGAGATGGTGGAAGAGAAGAACGAAAAAACGAGGGAAAAATGTAAATAAAAATAGCAGGGGGAAAGAAAGACGTTGAAGCTTAAAGGTCGAATTTTTTTTTTACAAAAATTTCACACCGGTTTGAATCGGTGCTAATTTGAATCGTTGCGAAATCTCTTTCCCTCTTATTTTTATTTTTTTTTTAAATTAGCACCGGTTTGAATCGGTGCAAAAAATATAATTTCGCACCGGTTTGGTTGGAACCGGTGTGAAAAGTCAATTTCCCAATCCCACCCATTTCTTTTCACACCGGTTTTCAAGAACCAGTGCAAAAGGGGGGGTGCCTATTTCATTTTTTCTACTAGTGAGATCATCAAAGAAACCCATCAAAGTATTATAATAATCCTCAACCATCATAGTCTTTGCTTGTTTGCAATTAGTGATTGCAGTCCGCAATTGTTAGAGGCAAGGTCCACTAGCCGCACAAAACCTCTTCTCCAAATAATCCCGAAGCTTCTTTGCTTCGTCAAAATAGGGTATAGATGCTGCAAGTTTAGCATCAATGGCTCGCAATATCCACGACACCAACATGGAATTCACCGTCTCCCAGTTAAGCATCTTCTTCTTCTCGCTCGATTTGGAGATTGTGTCATCAACAAAGCCATATTTTCGCCTTGATTTCAAGGACAAAGTGATTGCTCAAGACCAAGCAAGGTAGTTTTCACCATTCAAGACCACGTGAATGATCAAGTTCCCTGGTTGATCTTCAGCGCCAAGGTAAAAGGGGGATGATAGACCGATTTTGCCGTCTTCACCCATCACGATCAGAGAAAAAAAAATTGTAGAGTTTTAGGTTTTCGGGTTTTAGAATTCTAGAGGCTCCGATACCATGCTAGGAAATAATTTTCCGTGGTTTGTATTACTGTAAGAAGAGTATATATATACAAATTAAATTGGGCTTAACACTACATAGCCCAAAGAGCTAACTATACATTACACAATTAGCTAAATAAATAAATTATACAACCTAACAGTTTAATTTAATAATGTTGCAATTAAATAAAGACAGAAGAGTTAAAAATCTCTAGGCATTTGAAGCAACTGGGTGAAAATCATTCTTTTGCACCAGCTAACTAAATTATTCAATTAATGATTCTGAAATGTCCCTTCAGCTCCTAGGTTTACATTCAATCTGCTTATGTTTTATTTGATCATCAACTTTATGGTAAAAACTAAAAACTTATACTATGAATTAGTCAAATGGCCAGTACATCTTTGTTGTGCAAGTTGCAAGGTTGTTGAGCATTTAATTAAGAGATCCTACATCACTATGCCATTGTTGTAGACTTGTAGCTTATAATTCCTCAATTATTTTTATTATTATTATGGCATCACCCTTTCGGTGTAATGTTTTGAGTAATGAATAATTTCAACAAATTGCAACATCTCAATCATACCTTACATTATTAATCTTGATTAGACCATTCATCATCAATAAATCACATGTTTTGACAAAATTAAGCCTAAATAAAAGTATTCTCATTTACAATTAATATCGTATGAAATATTAATTGGTAGTTCTACACCTCGCATAATACTAGTCTATTAATCACCCCAAATTACATAAAAGTCAACCTTTATGTTAAGTTGACTTTAAATAACTCATTCGATATGATTAATAAGTCTGTTAATATAAAGTACTTCCTTCATAACATAAAATTCTTATTTTGACTTTTTTGTGAACCAATCACCGTCTAAGCAAGAACTTTTAGAAACAAATGGAGTACAACATGATGAATATGGAACATGTTTTACGGGGAATGACAATGTAAAGCATGTATCTATCCACATTGTTTTCAGATTTTCAACCAAAAGTTGAATATTAAAGAAAAGGCTTCCATCATTGAATTTACAACTATCCTTTCTTTGATGAGTAAAAATGAATGTACTCATTACAAATTGGATTATCTTTTCACCTTCTACTAAACCTTACAAATTCCAAAAAAAAAAAAAAAAAAAAAAAAAAAAAAAAAAAAAAAGAAAAAAACAAAAGAGACAAGGTAAGGTCCCCTCAATTCCTTTTAAAAAGGCCCAAAATCCAAATGATTTTACTGTGGGCCTTCGTCTCTTTCTGCTGAATAAAGGCCCGCGCCGTCGGGTACTTCCTTTGTCTCTCTCTCATCATGTGCCCACCACACCCTCTTTCATCTTTTTCTCATTTAATTTTTTTTTTTTTACTTTACAAAAAAAATAAAATTAAAACCGGGCATTTTCAAAGCCGTGTAAATCACTAACAGACCGGTTCAAGGACTTCTTCATTTTAGCCACCTTAGCCAGCTGCTCAGCCGCTCGCCAAGCCGATGTCGGCGTAAGCGGATCACCATTTTCATCCACCATTTGCTGGGCCACATTAGCTGCCTCTTGCTCCTTTTGTACTTGATACTGCCTCCTCCAGTGCACATGCCCCAGTTCACACTCTAACCCTCTAGCGTACTCCTCAGCTGAGGTTAACCCATTAGCCGAGGATTGTAACACCAAGGCTCGAGCCGAGGTGAGAAGGTGGTGAGCACTACTAAAATCGTAGTGCTCAACTAGTCGTCTTGACTCGGCTACGGCTCGGGTGTAAATGAAAAGGTTCCGTAGCCGTTCAATTCTCGGATCAGAGGATCGGATGGCGTGGGGTCGTGGGACCAGTAGGGCCCGCTCCCTCCCATACATCACCTCTTGAGTCACCGGATCTTTATAACTGCAACGCACAGACATCACATGGTGGGACCCAATCGCTGACATAGGCACCTTCAGTTCTATCAACAATTCTCTCTCCTCTTCGGCGTACAAGTCCCCAAGCCGAGCCGAGTCAGAGCTCATTAAACTCGGTCTACCATTACACGAATAAACCGCCATTATCTCGGCCGAAGCTGAACCCGAAGAAAACCCGAGTTGAACCCGTAAATCCTGAACCACAACACTTAACAAACCACCCACACATTTCGCAAACGCGTCTTGTTTCGGTTCAGGAGTTCGAAACCCGAACCCGGAAGAATGAACCGGGATCTCAATATGAGCAAACCGGGTCGATGACATTTGAGACGCTCTCTGCCGTTGATTTGAACTTGGCGGATCATCTTGACCGTCGGATAAAAGAATGATACTACAAACCGGGTTTTTCTCTCTCCGATCCTCTAAAACTTTTGACGCTTTTTTTAACGCTTCTCCAACGGATGTACCTTGGCCACAACTAAGGTGGTCGATGATTTTGCGCGCAGATTTCTGCCCCTGCCAAGTCATTCTTCGCAGCGGCAGCAGTCGCTGAGGCGCTGAGGAAAACGCAACAATGGCTAATCGATCAGCGGAGCTCAACGAGGAGATGACAAGTCGCATGGCACGCTTCAACATTTGGAGCTTAGGCCCTGTCATACTGCCACTAACATCAAGGACCGTAACGAGGTCAATTGGTGCGCGGTGGGTTGGAGATAAAATCGCCTCCGGGGTCGGAGGCGCTTTTACTCGCAACGCCACCGCGTACGTCTCGTGAGTCCGAGACCCCGAAACAACCGCAGCCTCCGGCAACAATTTCACTTCTACATGTCGTGGTGCTCTCTTGTCAACAGAGTTGTATGGATCAATTGAGGATGATTTAGTGCTGTTACTGACGGGCGGTTTCTTCGGAGTAACAAAGAAGCCTTGGAATTCTTCGGTATCCTCTGTTTCCTCAGCTTCTGGTATGGGGTTGAACCGAGGAGATAGAAGCGGCTCGTCGTCATTGTATGGTCTGTCTGATGATCTTTTGAGTGATTGTACTCGCTTATCCTCGAAATGAATCCTGGCGCTCCCGGTTGGCGTAGCGGGAGCGCTCATGGCCGAGGATTTAGCAGTAGTGGTGGTGGTAATGGTTTTCTTATCGACAATCTCTTCCGCCTCCGAAGGGTTGTTCTTGTGGAAAGAGAGAAGAGGGACATCTTTCCATGTGATATTACATACTGGACATATCAAGGAACCTTGCTTCCTCACATGGGCATCTATACATGGAAAATGAAATGCGTGTGAGCATTCCGCCGTGTAAATTGCCATCCCTTGTCCTGTTTTTACACTCTGCATACACAATCCACATCCATTCTGCAATCCCCAAAACAAAACAAAATTAATAACTAAATTTGTTCATTTCATGTAATCGTATATATAATTTTGTACATCGTTTATTACCTTGGTAAGACGAAGAGTGTTCTTAAGCATGGCGAAAGGAGAGCGAGGAGAAGAAGGGTTAGACCCCAACTTGCATTGGACCTTCGGGCTCGGTCCGACACTCTTGCTACCACCATTGTTGTTGTTACCAGCTGTTGTAGCGGTGGTTTTGTCAACAGTGGTGGATGATGAGGTTCGAACTCGTAATCTAGGAGTAGAAGGATTGCTTATACTAGAAAATAAGCTTAATTTAGAGGTTTTGGGAGTAGGAGTAGAAATTGGATGAACATCAACAACATCATTGTTGTTATGATGATGGCGATGAGTAGGCCTTTCTTTTTCTCTATCTTTTGGGATTGTTGAACAGAAGGCTTTTCTCCAACCAGTTCCCATAATAATTTTGTTTTTGTGTTAAATTTTGGTTAAGGAAAGAAAGAAAAAGGTTGTTAATCTAGTTTTATAGGAGAGGGAAAAAGTGGATCTGATGATGATGCCAACATAGAAGACAAAACAGAAGGAAGAATCATGGGATTAAAAAGATAAATGATTGACTCGGTGTGACTCAGTGAGCCCCTCTTTTGTTACTCGTATAAAAATGAAAGTGAAAAGGAAGGAAATGAAGCAAAAGATCCCTTGCTAATTTTCAAGGGGATATGATAGATATGATATGAATTGAGATAGGAGGTTATTTTTGTGTATAATAGGTTGAATATATAAATAAATTCATTGGAAATGGTAATTCTTAAGCTGAAAAATAAATAAAATAAAGTGGCAGATGCTGAATTGAGTTAGATTTTAAAATTTGTTTTAATGAAAATGGTCAACGGTCGGCTTCCATCTATCTCTCAAAGTCTGCACAACAACATCTGTGGCTTGTGGGAGTTGTGGGTAGCTTTATATTTGCTCCATCCTCACCGCATTGTGTTTTTCAGATTTTTTGCTTCATTCTATGATTTTTTTTTTAAAAAAAAAAAACTCCTTACTACAAAGAAAATTACCCCTCCCTATTATTATTAGGAAATTTTAGAAAATAATACCACAAAAAAAACACAAATTTTGATTATGACACCAAAAAAAAAAAAAAAAAAAAAAAAAAAAAAAAACTTTTATTACGAAGTATAACACCACAAAAAAATTCACAAATTTGATTTCACCACCACTTAACGGATTCTTGGATGGAATCCGTTAGTGAGACCCATAATTTGACACGTGTCAATAGCTTATAGGTTTAAAAAATTGAATTAATAAAAAGAAAAATAAATAAAAATCCCCAAACCTAGCTAGCTCCACCACCGGCGCCACCTTGCCTTAGCCGCCAACACCATAACCCAGGCCGCTGAATTTTGCCTTCCCCACCAAAACCGGCGAAACCATCTCACGCTGCCGAATTTTGCCTTCCCCATCCCCGAAAACCACTCACGCCGCCGAACTCCTACCACGAAACCCGAAAACCACCCCACGCCGTCGAACTCCTGCATTATGCCACCGCCAACTACCTCAGCTACATCACCACAATTGTCGCCGAAATCCTCTCCCCTACCCAGAGCTATCGTCGAAACCCCAACCCACATCAAACCAAAAAACGCCCTCACCTGAACCCTAACCCGTTTCTAGAAACCGAATTGAATCGGGGCTGGGTTGGGTTGGGTACGGCATTTTAGGGTTAGGGTGGTACGTCGTTCAGGTGGTCAGTCGAGGGTGGTTGGCTGGGGGAACCAGCAGCGACAGTGGGGGCAGGTGGAACCGGCGCCGGTGGTGAGTGCGGTGGCTGGGTTAGGATTTTAGGGTTTTTCAATTTTATTTTTTTTTTGTTTTTTTTTAATCCAATATATGACTGACACGTATATAATGTGGGACCCACTAACGGTTTTTTGGTTGGTGTCAAATCTCTTTTTTTTTTGTGGTGTTATAATAAAAGTTTTAAATTTTGTGGTTTAATAATCAAAATTTGGGTTTTTTTTTTCTGGTGTTATTTTCTAAAATTTCCTTATTATTATTATTATTATTATTATTATGAAATCACCCGTCCCTATTTCATTCAAAAAAAAAATTACTTCATAAACAACCCATTATCTTTTTTTTTCTTTTTGAAATCACCGGAACGGAAATATATTAAAGGAGGTCAAACTCCGCCAAAGCTAATAAACTTTTAGGAAACGGACCTAAACAAACGTACTCATTATAACCTCTAGAGACCCATCTTGCGACAAGATGAGCAACAGCATTACCCTCCCTCTTAACATGAGAAAACAAGAAAGCATTACAAGATCTAGATAGAACAACAATATCATCAAGCAATAAACCTACAATATCATATCCCCGCATTCTTCTCTTTACTCCCACCACCACAATCAGCGAGTCACTCTCCAGATTTACCTTCAGGTAGCCGAGACAGGCGGCAATTTGTAGACCAAACCGGCATGCTGCAGCTTCAGTAAGAACCGGACTCCGGCCTGCAGGCTCTTGGCGTATAGCAGCCACCAGAACCTCGCCATTTGCATCTCTAATAACCACGCCTAACCCAGTCTTTGCCCCCAACAAGAGCATCGCAATTTACCTTAACAAAGCCCACCATGGGACGTTTCCACAAGTTCGCTGAACTAGCAACTCTGACCCCCTGAGGTTTGAAAACTTTTGAAGCATATTCGCTATAATCAAACACAAATTATAGCACACCAACAGCTAGTTTAACTGGGCATTCCCTTGCATCTTCAAACAAATTTTTTTTCCTCACCCACTAGGCAGCCCACGCTAAAGAAGCAATTGAGAGAAAATCCTTCTCGCAGACCTTTGAAGCTAGCCATAGCAGCTTCTCAGAGAAATCAGAGGTTGGAGCTTGAGAAAGAATGTGCATATAGGGGCTAATAGTCCATATTGCATTCGTAGCAGCACACTTGAAAGTTGCATGAATTATTGATTCATCACCCACCCCATAAATTGTGCAAACTTTATCAGGAACCAAATGTCGAAAATGTAGTCTTTCTTTCACAACCAAGAAACCCTACATGCCCTCCAGAGAAAGTGAGCCAACTTTGCAGGTCCTTGAAGCCGCCAAATGAGCTTCCAAATATCACAAGCCTGCTGGTTTTGGCTAGAAGGCGGGCCTTGCTTGTTTAGCTAGTAACCAAACTTCACACTTTACTCACTAGATTTCGTTGGCCACTAGAACATACAATCTCTAGCACACCTAGATTATAGAGGAACTGCAAGAATCTGGGTCTGGTCCATAGCAGAAAAATTCGCTTGTAACACATCCCTCCGCCACGACATCGACCCATGATCAATCAGATCATAGACCCGAAGGTTGAGATCACTGTGAGCTAATGGAGCATGCACCACAATAGACAAGTTACCAAGGAGCTAGGCACTAGTCCATATCTTAATATCATAACCATCTCCCACCCTCCATTTTAAGCCATCAAGGAGAGACTTTGCACCCCACATACTTCTCCATGTGTAACTAGGGTCATACCCTCGATTAGCCTCTAAAACATCACAATGTTTAAAGTAATTCGCTTTCAAAATAGTATGTAGGAGTGCATCTTGGTTATGGTGAAGCCTCCAACATTGCTTGGCCAAAAGAGCTTGGTTAAAACATCGGAGATCACAGAACCCCATACCACCTAAACTCTTCGGCTTACACAAATATTCCCATTTCTACCAATGTAATTTCCTTGTCATGTCCGTAGACCCCCGTCAGAATCGAGCCATCATAGCTTGAATTATCGATTTCAGAAGTACCTCCTTCCCCGGCTTTGAAAGTAATTTCTCCTTCCAATCTTGTAACTTCTTCCGTATACATTCCTTAAACCCTGAAAAAATTGCTCTCTTCAATATCCCAATGATAGTCGGAAGACTCAGATATTTCTCATGTCTATCCATTTCTCGAACTCCCAGAGTATCAACAATCTCCTTTCTGCGACTAAAACTCACTTTCTTACTAAAAGCACCTTTGTTTTATTTAAATTGACACTTTGGCCCGATACTCTCTCATATTTCTAATCACATTCGCTATCTCAGAGCATTCCTGAACAGTGGCTCTAGCAAAAAGTATGATGTCATCTACAAAAAATAAATGAGACATCCGTGGTGCACCTCTGCAAATTCTAGCACCATGAATATGGTTCTCCCTAGCCGCCTTGCTAATTAGAGTAGAAAAAGCATCAGTACATAATAGAAAAAGGTACAGAGAAATAGGGTCCTTGCCGAAGTCCTCTCGACGAGCTAACAGAATCCGAGATTTTTCCATTAATTTAAAAGAAAAATTAGCAGATTCCAAGCAGCTCATAATCCTACAAATTCAGGCCTCAAAAAACCCCATTTTTTCCATCATCTTCTCTAAAAACACCAACTCCACCCAATCATAAGCCTTACTCATGTCCAATTTTAAAGCAATTGTCCCATTTTTCCCTTCTCCCCCTCTCTTCATCGCATGAAAAATTTCAAAGGCCACTAGAGCATTATCAGAAATAAGTCTTTTCGGAACAAAAGCACTTTGATTCTGAGAAATAATATCACCCAAAAAATTCTTCAATTTATTAGCTACTGTTTTTGAGATGATTTTATAGATAACATTACAGCAACTAATAAGCCTAAAATCCGATATAAGAGTCGAATCTTTGAATTTTGGAATAAGGACAACACAAGTATTATTGACATCAGTAAGATTCACTTCACTTCCCCTCTCCACCATCTCTTCACGTAAGAAATAATATCTGACCCAACAATATGCCAATTTTTTTGAAAAAATAAAGCATGCATACCATCGGGGCTAGGAGCCTTGTTTGGATGCATTTGAAAGAGAGCACATTTAATTTCATCATCTATCAGAGCATTATTCATTTCATCTGTCACAATCCCTCTCAACACCAACAAGAGATTCTTGAAAGCCTGTCGGGGAGCTAGTAGTGAAAAGCTTGGAGAAATAAGCTTCGACCAGTCTTTTTATGTCCACCCGCTGCTCCACCCACTTACCATTATACTCTTCTTTGGCTAGCTTTGTGATTTTCTTTGGATATCTTTGTGATGGAAATAATTTGTATTTGTATCCCCTTCCCGTAGCTCATTAGCTCTATCTCTAGCAAACCAATAGGACTCTTCTAATAATTTCAAGATTCCAATTCAATGGAAGCCTTATTACACTACTCAAGTTTTTCACCATCCATCACTCCCAATTTCAGCTTATTAATTAATTTTTATTTATCCCTAATCTTCTTTCTAACATCTCCAAACTTTTTGCCCAGCCCAAGAGCCTAACTTCTCACCACAAACTGCTATCTTTTGGGATATGTTCAAATTGTAACCCGCCACCCAATTTTCCTCCACCACTTTACTGCATTCATCACTTGATAGCCAATATGCTTCAAATTTAAACCCACTGCCCCCATCAGCTTTCCCCTTGCTTTTCTTGGTGCCCAAAATAACTGGTGCGTGATTAGAGTCCGAAATAGGTAAATTCCTAACTTTGAAATCCGGAAATAAGTTACACCATCCTTCACTAGCAAGACACCTATCTAGCCTTTCCCGCACATAAGTCTCAGTTGTTTTTCCTCTCTCCCAAGTGAAAATATTTCCTTTATAGCCAAGATCACGAAGTAAGCAGGCATCGATTTCTTCATAAAAGGTATTCATGAGTCGATCATCTCTTTGCACACCTCCTTCTTTCTCCGAAGCACAAGTGATTTCATTAAAATCTCCAAATAAAACACAAAAAATGGGGCTCTCTGAGACAAGAGTGGACATAAGAGACCACGTTTTGTGTTTATTTGATTGTTCCGGCCACCCATAAATCCTAATTGCGCGCCAAATTGGAGAATCATTATTATCTTTTACATCAATAGCAAAATGGTGAGTCGAATACGAAACCACATTCACATTAACATCTCTCCACCACATTCTCATACCACCCGAGTTACCCCTACTACTCAAACATACACCATCAACAAACCTACATTTATTTCTTAATTTTACCAATCTCCTATCCTCAATCATCGTCTCCATAAGAAAGACAA